TTAGTGTCTGCTGAAGGTAACTATACGTCACATTACAACTTTATTTATAGTCATCTAACATCATTCTTTTATTCAAAATATATTAATGCTTAGTTTATATTAGTTTGCTACGTAATAAGATCGGTGACAGAAAAGGATCGCAACCAGGACAAAGTCTTGCTACGAGTTTGATATGATCGTAGTTTTTCATGTTGTAATAAGGTTGGATACGGCAATAGATCGCAACAAGTATGAATAATATCGTTTGCACCTAACAGGTTGTTGAGAAGTTGAGGACGACAATTAACTTGTCACGTGCAGATAATATCAGGAACTTGTTATATAAACTTGTAGAAAGGCTTTTAACGTCACGAACCTTGTTACAAGATGATGACAACTTGTTCCACACTTGACACAACAACTCAGAAGAAACAATGCCAATCCTAGTATATGACAGACTTTTCCCAACTTCTTTCCAGATCTGTAACAAAGCAGAACAGGACAGGGCAGAACAGAACAGAACAGAACAGAACGGAACGGAACGGAACGGAACGGAACGGAACGGAACGGAACGGAACAGAACAGAACAGAGCAGAACAGAACAACTTAACCCATTCTTAATTGTAAACTCTTTCTATTACTGGATGGCGTGCACAATTGCATTCATGCAGTGGTGCCGCCACCAGTGGCAGGTCTGGGTTTTGATAAAGAGCTTGTATTTCGCATGTATAGTTTGATACTGTTTTATTATGTTGTTGACTACATGGCACTCTCCTTTTGACGTCAGACCAATTAGACTATAATGGGCAAATTTTTGACTGACTTCTTTGGTTTTGGAGTTGATTACTTGACTGCGGTGTCTCGTCAAGCTCGATATCATTTCATTCGAATTGTGAACGAGCAAAGTCACCGCTATTTTCGCCCTTTCTTTTATTGTAGTTTGCACACAACGACGACCATTAATTTGGTTTGGTTCTTTACTGTTCACTGAAGGTAACTATATACGTTACATTATAACTTTATTTATAATCATTTAGCATCTTTCTTTTATTGAAGATGTATTTAACAATTTTTAACAATTAGATTGCGCTCGAGCTCTAGATTTCTATGAGCGGTTTGTTTTAATTATTAATTAATATTTGTTAAACCATATACAATTGCATACTAGGAATTACTATCGCAAGGAATGTGCTGCCTCAGCGATCTAATCTACCCCCAGGGGACAGAAAAGACCGCATGCAGAATTTTCGGAATAAGGGGCTGTTTATATGATCCTACTTTGCCAGGACGAGATGTGCAGCGGGATTATTTTGATGCATTGTAATAAGGCAGCGTTTACACTGTACCGTTTTCGTAGCGTTCTCGTATTGTTCGAGAGAACTAGACTATTGTCTTGCGTTCCCTTGAGGATTAAGAACAATACGAGAACGCTACGAAAACGGTACAGTGTAAACGCTGCCTAAGTTACACTGAGTGCACGATTCAAGCAAAAAACTTCATTATTTTCCGGAAATCGATTATAGTTAACTGTAAGGTCCCAAACCTTGTTACAATATGCTGACAACTTATACCACACTTGAAATAACAACTCAGAAGTAACAATGCCAATCCTAGTAGATGGCAGACTTTTCCAAACTTCTTTCCAGATCTGTAACAGAACAGAACAGAACAGAACAGAACAGAACAGAACAGAACAGAACAGAACAGAACAGAACAGAACAGAACAATTGACTTAACCCATACTTAATTGTAAACTCTTTCTATTACTTGATGGCGTGCACAAATGCATCATGTGTGGGAGTTCAGTGGTGCCGCCACCAGTGGCAGGTCTGGTTTTTGATAAAGAGCTTGTATATCGCATATATAGTTTGATACTGTTTTATTATGTTATTGACTACATGGTACTCTCCGTTTGACGTCAGACCAATTAGACTATAGTGGGCAAATATTTGACTGACTTCTTTGTTTTTGCAGTTGATTACTTGACTGCGGTATCTTGTCAAGCTTGATCATTTCATTCGAATTGCGAACGAGCAAAGTCACCGCTTTTTTCGCCCTTTCTTTTATCACAGTTTGCACACAACGACGACTATTAATTTGCTTTGGTGCTTAGTGTCTGCTGAAGGTAACTATACGTCACATTACAACTTTATTTATAGTCATCTAACATCATTCTTTTATTCAAAATATATTAATGCTTAGTTTATGTTAGTTTGCTACGTAATAAGATCGGTGACAGAAAAGGATCGCAACCAGGACAAAGTCTTGCTACGAGTTTGATATGATCGTAGTTTTTCATGTTGTAATAAGGTTGGATACGGCAATAGATCGCAACAAGTCTGCACCTAACAGGTTGTTGAGAAGTTGAGGACGACAATTAACTTGTAACGTGCAGATAATATCAGCAACTTGTTATATAAACTTGTAGGAAGGCTTTTTACGTCACGAACCTTGTTACAAGATGATGACAACTTGTTCCACACTTGACACAACAACTCAGAAGAAACAATGCCAATCCTAGTATATGACAGACTTTTCCCAACTTCTTTCCAGATCTGTAACAAAGCAGAACAGGAAAGGACAGGACAGGGCAGAACAGAACAGAACAGAACAGAATAACTTAGCCCATTCTTAATTGTAAACTCTTTCTATTACTGGATGGCGTGCACAATTGCATTCAGTGGCAGGACTGGTTCTTGATAAAGAGCTTGTATTTCGCATGTATAGTTTGATACTGTTTTATTATGTTGTTGACTACACGGCACTCTCCTTTTGACGTCAGACCAATTAGACTATAATTAATGGGCAAATTTTTGACTGACTTCTTTGTTTTTGGAGTTGATTACTTGACTGCGGTATCTCGTCAAGCTCGATATCATTTCATTCGAATTGTGAACGAGCAAAGTCACCGCTTTTTTCGCCCTTTCTTTTATTGTAGTTTGCACACAAAGACGATCATTAATTTGTTTTGGTTCTTTACTGTTCACCAAAGGTAACTATATACGTTACATTATAACTTTATTTATAGTCATTTAGCATCATTCTTTTATTGAAAATATTTTTAACAATTTTTAACAATTAGATTGCGCTCGAGCTCTAGATTTCTATGAGCGGTTTGTCATTCTTGCTGTAAACCTTCTTTAATTATTAATTAATATTGTTAATTATATACAATTGTGTACTAGGAATTATTATCGCAAGGAAAGTGCTGCCTCAGGGATCTAATCTACCCCAGGCGACAGCAAAGACAGCATGCAGAATTTTCGGAATAAGGGGCTGTTTATATGATCCTACTTTGCCAGGACGAGATGTGCAGCGGGATTATTTTGATGCATTGTAATAAGTTACAGTGCACGATTCAGCAAAAAACTTCATTATTTTCCAGAGGTCGATTATAGTTAACTGTAAACAAAAGGTTGTTCAAGTAGCAATAATAATATTCTCTAACTACAAGATCTAGCTTCTCTAGTATACAAGCGCTCTCTCCTTGACGAGTAATATGTTCTGGCATTAGACAGAGTAAAATTATAATAAAGTAGGGCACATCAGGGTTAACTAGGATTTGAATCACCTAGCCTGCGAACATGTAAACAGGCCCATAGGACCCCTGTTCAGGAGATAGGAAAAGTGCAATTTGCAATTGAGTATCGAACACCTTGCACAAAGTCGAAGGGTAGCTAAAAATTCTACTTTCTTGGCATGGGCGGTTTTATATGAATACCTTTCAAGCCATGTAATTTCTTGCTATTGTATGTTTAATTATAATACTGTCTGTGGATAAGCTAGCCATAGCAACAGGTTATGCTATACAATTTTTTAATTATTGGCATTATACAAATGATGCAGATTTATTAGCATAGTATGACCAGTTGCCATCGCTAACTTGCCTGACTGAATACTGTCGCTGTTTAATATCATATTTAGAAATACTAAGTCAGTTTTTGTCCAATTTATTGTTTTAATGGCCACATCAAGGCTATAACCCTATCGCAGAACCAAACAATCTGCTGATTGGAAGACAAAATCTATTTGTTGACATTTTTGTTTAATACATCAGCTTCAGATGACACCATTCATTGTAATGATTGAGATTGCGTTTGCTCAGTCAGAACTGCAAAACTATATAATAAGAAAGAAATTGTGAACATTATTGAAAAATATAGTATACCCCGAAATGTAATGACACAACCAGGTGGAATATGCTAACAATGGACATATCTCAGAGATATAAAACAGACCTTCATACCCAAACAAAAGTCTGTTGACATGTAATATATACATGTAACTGCAGGTAAGTTAATATATATGCCGACAACTGGGTTGCTATAGGAATCTTATTAAGCCTGATTATTAATTATTAATTATTAAAGAGGTGAATAAATAACATTCCGCGTTTGTTTTTAAAACGTGCTGAAAGCACATTGCTATATAAAACATCTAGAATGAACACTATAAACTCATTGCCTTGGCACTTCCCCACACAAACAAATATTAAACTAAAAGTACATTGTGAATGACGATCCTAATATAAAATAAGACGATCAGTGGCCTATTAAAACTGATGATAAATTAATAAAATCGTATTGTTTCAATACCTCCATCTCGAACACTAAACAACAGATCTAATATAAATGCGTACATGTATGATGCATGTATATCGCCAGAAAGAATAGAGCCATTCTTACTTGATGTATTCAAAATATTGTCGATCGTTTCCTTCGATCACAGATGATGTTGTCCCCTGGTCCCATCAACTGGAAAATATTTTATGATGTATCTTATAGTTTGGTGTGTATTTTATGCCACCTTACTTTTGAGTTTTGACCTATGAAGGCTATTGCCCCTTGATTGCCAAAATCTACCATGTTTACAATAAGGAATGGGGTATACTCTGGATTTACCTGTGACTAGATACAATGCAATTGACACCTAGTTACTGACAGAGTCTAACAAATTGGACAATTTAAATGTATAGTTGCATACTGCAATTTGTTGGGCTGATTTCAGATGCATGTTAATAATCAATGATACTTGAAAAAATATGTGGCAAACATCATCTGACGGTCTCACTGAAAATATTTGTCAACATTCAGCAAAATATAAAATCAGCCCGACAGGGTGTGGTGTATGAACACACAAGAATATATGTACCATGCATATACACACATAACACACATGATTTACCATGTTGTCATGGAAATTGATCTCGGGATTAAACAATCCAAACATGTTTATACTAACGGGTGAGCCACCCCAAACGCTTTACCTGAAATCATTGTCAGGTCACTCAAGGTAGGTCCCAGTAAACTGCTTGGACAGGTGTAGGTTTGTATAGTGTAACACAACAAGACTTATCCCAGTTGTTTCTGTGCTTACTCCTAAATCCTCATGAATATGTGTATGGACTATGGTTCAGCCAAATTAGAACTAGAAAATACATGCATGCAGAAACCCTCGCCTTGCTGACAAAACCGTTGTATTTTCCGAACATGAAGTATCTAAAGTAGTTGTCATGGTAACACGATAATTTTTTAAGAATATTCTTACAAATGAAAATCGCCTAAAAATATCACTTTTAATTACAAAATTATCAATTTCCCAACATATATATGTTAGGTATGTAATTATACGTAATACAAGCTTTAATTTAAGGTAAAATTCAACCACAAACAATTCACAAAACGTTTTAAAGTGTTCTTTAATATAAAACTAAACTGCCTTTAACTATTAAATGGCTTTATCGATAAACTTTGAGTTTGCAATAAAATGATTTCAAATTCTCGCTTGCAAATAACTTTGCTTTATTTTTTATTTAAAAAGTTCAATATAATAAAAAAGGGAATCAATATTAAAGATACACTGAAATTATATGCTGTCTTGTTTAGTTGTTTCATATTAATATACGCAAAGGCCGTCGGGTTTTAAAGCCATTATAAAATCAATATTTAAAACAAACTTACCTTCGTTAACGTCGGCTCCCTTCTTTTAGCCGATTCTTTCGCCCTTTCTTTATGAGAAAACTCTTGAAATTTACAAAATCTTGCAAAAATGCGAGTAAAAAATTCATCAATCATCAAATCAAGAAATGTTTGCTATTTCGCTGTCGTCATGCAGTCGTTGTAATGCAAACTTTAAATTGGACCAATCAGTGTCCGTTATTCATGACAGTCCGCCATATTTTTGAGATCAGTGAGGATGACCACCCATCGTTGGTGACCGACGCCCGCGCTCATTGATGAACTTTAGACATCGCTAATGCTTTCGTTTCCCCGGGTGTAAATAGCCGGGGGGAATTAGTACCCTCGCACGGCGCTTCGCGCCGCCGGCTCGGGGATTAAAAGGGCATATGTTTTACACAACTCGGCTAAATGAGATATAAGAACTCATCAACATGCTTTGCAAACCACAACCCCTGTAACATTTAAACTAACATCTTTAAACTAAATTTTATTTATTTTGCTCATAACTTAAACTACTAGTATTTACATTCAAGAAATCTATTGCAATATTTATGCAGTTTAATACTCTTGTGGGTTTTTAGTTATACATGTAGACCCACTCACCCACAGCTTCACGTTTAAACAAGCTAGGCACATTGGCACAAATTAACAGCTTTACCCAATACCCATTAAGTTGCACTGCACCCTACTAGGGCTATGGTGGTGTGCTGATTGTACCACCGACTTTGGTGGTGCAATTGTCAGTTCAAGACCACTTGATAAACTGCTAGATTTTTTAATCCCGCCATAATTTTCCATCTCATAATCTGCTTCAGTGGCAATGGGAACATCACTATCTAACAACATAATAAACTAACGACATTTCTATAATTACTCATTAAATTAACTCAGAAATTCACTCTATTAATGTTTGTGATCACCAAAAATGTGGAGTGCATTCAAGACTAGAACTTGAACTATATAAGAACACAATACCTTCTTCAAAATCGAGTTGGGATTTCAATTTGCTGCCATTGCAATTTATGTAAACTAGCTTTGTTGTTATTGCATGAATCAAAGAGACAACAGCATTCAACACTCAACATATTTCTATAACAATATATATCGCTATTTTACGTCATATAAAATAATGTAAATATGACTTTGCTGAAATCCTTTCGTTTTTAATATGAATTCTAATATAATAAAGCTATATCATATTATAAATGACTCATATGACTGACTCACTCAGTATATTAATTCAAATAAAGGTTAAAGAAAACCATCATGTGGCTGTCTTTGCTCCGTCTGGTCCATATTGTCACGGAAATTGGACGCAAAATGCAGAAAAACGCTTAAAAACTACATTTCTGAACTAAATTTCAGAAATCGACAATTTGTTATCGGTCTTTGAATATTTTCTGCCAGGCGCTTCCCTTTCCGGTCCCGTCCTCCCCAAGCACACCTGCGCGTTTGCCCTGATTTCTATATAGTAGCTTAGCGCGATTATATTTTTCTTTCTAAAGTGCCTGGGTACGAGGCTGAACTCGTCATGAATTGAAAACGAACTAGTGAAAACGAACACTATAATGTGTTTCTACAGTGTCCATGGAATGGGCACGAAAACGCAGTGACGTCAAGATTAGTCAAGCTCAATTCGTTACTAACTTCTTATTAACCGAACACTATTGTATACCGACATTATTTAACAATTATTCGCCGAAGGCAAGTTGATTATATATATCGGTGAATAAAAACAGAGACGAAGCGAGTCACTATAATCACCGAGCGTGAGGTGAATAATTGTTTTAGTATAATTTCATAGGTGATTATTTGGAAAAAAAAATAAAAGATACATATTTCTTCGTCATTTAATTGCCAAAATGGCTTCGGCCGCCATTTCGGTAAGCGATTTTCGTTGATTTTCGCGTTATAATCAACTCAGCGGCAACCGATCAGCGTGGACAATTTTAAACAATCACCTATGTAATTATACTACTAGAAATACATGCATGCAGAAACCCCTCGCCTTGCTTGCAAAACCATTATATTTTCCGAGCATGAAAGATTTAAATTCGTTGTCATGGTAATACGATAATTTTTTTAAGAACATTTTTAAAATTCAAAAATCCCGGCCTAAAATATCACTTTTAATTACAAAACTAGTATACTTATCAGTAGTATAAATGCTGACTTGCTCCTTAATTTGACGATATATAATAAACGGCCTTGTAGCTGAAGCGATTCGACTCTCAAGATCTATCACCGACTTTCAAGAGGTGTCGTGGCTTCTGTTTAGACTATTTTACTGAATTCGCGTAGACTTTGTCGTTAGTTGTATAATTTGAATTCGTAAACTACAAAGTTAATGCAATAAATATTAGATTAAGCTAAGCTAAAATCAAATAAAATCATGTTCAATTTCTAACTAGATAACTTACATATTTGTCCAATGTTTAAACTGCTTCGAAAGGTTGTTCATACGTCTAATTCTCAATTCCTAATGACTATGTTCGGCGTGTCACATCTTAGCACATGCACTACAATTTGAATGACTAATTATGCTAATATATACATTTACATGGCTCCTCTGAAATCGCCGATTTCACTACAAGATTTTTTTTAACGTTTTTCTTTTTAAATAAAAGTTGCTAATAATTTAGGTAATTGAATGTATCTCTGAAATGTACGTTATGGCTCCTCGACGGGGACGGACTCCGCGTCTTGACCTTCACCTTCAACAAGCAATATCAATTTATCAATTGGTCGTTCCAAATGTCTTTGTGACCTTGTCCGTACTCCTTTGCTATCTAAAGAACCGTCTGCCTTGGCCAACATCACGGTACGCACATGTCCATCTTTGCTTCTATTCGTTCTAATAACGCGAGCGAGTTCCCATAAATTCCTTGGTAAATTTGATTCCTTGACGAGGACAATATCACCAACACCCAAATCTTTGCGTGGCTTGCACCACTTCTGCCGCGCTTGAAGACTAAGCAAGAATTCTTTCCTCCATCTCGACCAAAACTCATTAGCCAAATGTTGTACTCTTCTCCAACGTTTTCTCGAGTATCTATCGGGCGACTGAAAAACACCAGGTGGTGGAAGGATTACTCTACTTTTCATAGTTAGAAGGTGACTTGGCGTTAACGGTTGAAGTGAATCAGGATCATTTAAATCATTTACGGTCAACGGACGACTGTTAACGATGGCTTCCGTTTCACACATCAGAGTTCTCAATGACTCATCATCAAGTTGAGATCCATTACTTTGTAATAATGCAGAAAGTACACTACGTACTGTCCTAATTTGTCTTTCCCACACGCCACCCATGTGGCTAGCGGAAGGAACATTAAATTTAAACTCTATCCAATCACAATTCCTCTTCAGTAATTCCGTTGTTATATTTGCATAATTGAATTCGGTCAAAGCCTGTTTAAGTTCTTTACTTGCTCCAACGAAGTTCGTACCTCGATCACTCCTGATCTGGCGAACTGGTCCCCTTCGACATATGAACCTACGTAAGGCGTTAATAAATGAGTCGGTCTCCATTGTAGCAGAGGTTTCTAGATGTATGGCCCTGGATGACATACATGTGAAGAGCACACCGTATCTTTTAACTTCTTTTCTTCGTTCCTTTATGTACCAGGGACCAAAAAAGTCAACAGCGCAATAAGTAAAAGGAGGTGCTGGTTCCAAACGATCTTCTGGAAGATTGGCCATTTTCTGACTTTCAGCTGATCTTCGTAACTTCCGACAAAGAAAACACTTGGAAATGTAACTACCAACAGCGGAAACACCATTAATGATCCAATATCCATTCGATCGTATTTCATTGAGAGTCATTCCTCTTCCCTGATGACCAACTTGCTCATGGTAGTATCTTATGATAAGAGTGGTGATATGACTAGCCTTCGGTAGGATTATTGGAAACTTTACATTATAGCCAACACTGGAATGTCGAAGACGACCTCCAACTCTCAGAACGCCGTCACTACCAAGAAATGGATCAAGACGATAAAGACGACTGTTTCTCTTAAGATAAGATTTCTTGACAGTTTTCGATTTTCGGTCTTGCTGATTGACTAGGGCTTCAATAGACTTTAATTTCTTGATTTCGTCTTCGAAGAGGTCATTTTGAAGTGTCTTAATGATTCTAGTTTCTGCTTCTTGAATCTGTTCAACAGTTATTCGTTCTTTAGGAATAGATTTGTTGCTGCTTACAGTAACTGGAACACATCGTCTGATCGGCCGTTTTCGGAGATTTATCGAATCTTTATTGACTCCTTTGTCTCTTCGCTGTTGTAATAACTTTAGATAACGAAGACACAATGCTATAGCTCTTCGCATACGTTGCCAATCAGAGAAACGCTCAACTCGATCTAACAAAGTTTCCGTCGATTTGTCCAATTCAGTTGCCAACGTAACAACCCTTCTAACTTCGGGATCATCTTCAGATAACTCCACTGCATCTTGATTGCTCGTCGAGGTTACTGTTTCCCATTGACTTTCATCTTCCCACAAAAACTCTGGTCCCTTGATCCAAACGGGATTTTTCAGAAGTGTACTCGCACGAATACCTCGCGATGCTAGATCAGCAGGATTTTGTTTACTTTCGATATAATTCCACTGATGAAAATCTGTCGCTTCCTGGATCTGTTGTACACGATTTGCTACGAAGATATGAAATCTTCTTGACTCGTTGGCTATGTAACCTAGAACGACTCTACTGTCCGTCCAAAACACCTCTTCAATTTCTTCGTAATTTAATTCTCTTTTCAACTGGGCGCTGATCTTTACTGAAACAAGTGCGGCAGTCAGTTCGAGTCTCGGGATTGTAATAGGTTTGAGAGGCGTAACTCTTGCTTTAGCCATCACGAGCGAGCAATAAATATTGCCATTGTGATCTTTCAGTCTTAAATAGGTGCACTGACCATAACCCTTTGTACTGGCATCAGAGAACGAATGTAGCTGAACTTGCATAACACGACCAAAATTCTCAGGTTTCAAACATCGTTTAACGGAAAATTTCTTCAGAAGGGATAGATCTGATCGCCAACGCTCCCAACGCAACTTGATCGTTTCTGGAATCGGTTCATCCCACCCTATCATTTCTTTGCAAAGTTCTTGCAGAATCTGCTTGCCTTCCAACAGGACTGGAGCAAGAAAACCCAAAGGATCGTACACAGAACTCACTGCTGATAGAACACCACGTCTTGTACATGGTCGACTTCTCATCATAATATTGAACTGGAACTCGTCTCGTTCGGTGCACCACTGAATGCCAAGGGCCCGTTCTATTGGCATTTCCTCGTTAGTGAGATCCAGGTTTCTGATCTTCTCTGCTCGATCTTTCTTGGGAATGGCTTCGATTACTTGCTTCTTGTTGGATGTAAATTTTTGTAGATTAAATCCTCCTCTTCTACACATCTCCTTTGTTTCTTTCATCAAAGATATTGCTTCTGACGTAGTGGCCAAAGATTTCAAACCGTCGTCTACGTAGAAATCTTTCCGCAGGAATTCAGCGGCATCAGAACCAACACTCGTCTCGTTATCATCAGCAGTGCTTTTCAGGGCATAGTTACAACAGCCAGGCGATGATGTTGCGCCGAATAAGTGGACTGCCATTCTGTATTCGTCAGGTTCTCTCGATATATCACCATCATTCCACCATAAAAAGCGTAAATAATCTCTACAGTCAGGAGTCACCTTCACCTGATGGAACATGGCTTCGATGTCACACATTACGCCCACTGGTTCTTGACGAAATCGACAAAGGATGCCAAATAGACTATTGGTCAAGTCCGGTCCTTGCAATAAGTGTTTGTTAAGGGAATCACCATTATATTCGGCCGAACAATCAAAAACTACTCTAATCTTGTTTGGTTTCATTGGATTATACACTCCATGATGAGGGATGTACCAAACATGCTCTCCGCCCTGGTCAACACTGGACTTCTTCTCAGAAACTTTCTCGGCATAGCCATTCTTTAGTAACCCATTCATAAAAGTGATGTAGTCGTCTCGATATTTTTTGTCTCTTTCAAATCTTCTTTTCAATTGATTTAGACGTCGGAGGGCAACACAACGGTTGTTTGGTAGTTTAGGGTTAGGCTGCTTAAATGGCAAAGGTATCTCATAGTGCAAATCTTCGCAATGAACGATACCTTCTTTCACTTTAGCTAGAAACCGTTTGTCATCCATGGAATATGCTTGTATATCACTGTTCCTTTCCGAGAAATCTTGTTCAAACATTTGTGTCACTGTTGATGGGTTGATGGTTTCTTTAACTTGAGGACTGACAATGAAGTTACATCTCGTTGGGTTAGGCGTACCTATTTCTTTGGTTACAATTCTGTTACATGAAATGTTTTCTGTTTCATCTTCACCGCATTCTGACTTTGGTGTTACTGGACCAATCACCGCCCATCCAAGAAGAGTGCGTACTGCATAAGGTTCATCTCCTTTGCCAGTGATAACTTCTCGAGGCTTTATCGCTTTAGGACAGTTGCATCCTATGAGTACACCAACACACACACCGTCCTGATATGGATACAGTTTATCTTTAATTCTCCTGAGATGTGTCCAATTATCAGCAGTTGCTGGTGTAGGAATCTGATTCTTTCTTGACGGAATAACATCACGAGAATACGATTTCGGTAATTCTATCTCGACCCTTCTGTCCACGCGATTCACCACCAAACCTTCTATCTTTTGAACGGATATTTCTTGCTTTCCCGACATAGTAAAAAGATCGAGTTTGACATCTGTTCCTTTAAGTCCAAGCTCTTCAAGGATGCTTGTCTTCACGAAGGTGGAATCACTCGCGTTGTCCAACAAGGCGTACACCATAACTTCTTTCTTTGGGTTGTCCTTATGACGTAACCAAACTGGTATGATAGCTGCGTTTGTTGTATCACTACTCGAGATTGCGTATTTTCGAATGTTAGTGCAATTGTTGACGATACGACCTTCGGTCTTTGTTCCTTGATCTTGTTCTTTGGGGATCTCTTCTTCTTTATCTTTGAAAGGGAAATGGAGAGAAGTTGGATGAGGTTTTTTGCAATCTTTACAGGTTAGTCTGTTTCGACAATTCCTTGCGAGGTGGCCGGCGCGTAAACAACCGAAACAAAGTCCTGATTTCTTAACAAATTGCTGACGTTCCTTTAAGGTTAATCTTCTGAAATCTTCACAATCGTTCAGATGATGAGACTTTAGACACTTGACACAATCTGCTACTGGTTTATTGTTCTTTACGCTAGAATTTTGAGATGCTAATGTATCAAAATTGTTCACACCACGAATCTTTAATTTCTTTCCCATTTCTTTCTCGAGTTCTCGTTTACGATCTGCTTTCATAGCATCTGGGGAAAATACTGGATCTGTAACGAGTTCTGCTTCTTCTTTAACGAACTTTACTATATCTTCAAATACTACTGGTCGATACTTATTCTTCTTTATATCAAACGCATAACGACACCATCTAACTCCAGAATACGTAGGCAATTTTCCAGAAATTAATTTCAATGTCTCGCTGGAGTTTAGGTCGTCCATATATATCATTTCTTTCATAATTTCTGCGCAGCGACAAAGGAAATCTGAGTATTCTTGATATCCAACGCTGTCTCCATCTTTAACTTTCGGCCATTTTTTCAACTTGACTTTGTAAGCATCAGAAACCCGATGTGGGTCGCCATATCTTTCAGCAAGAAGTTGCTTCGCTTTCGTATAACTTGATTCGGAACTTGAAGTGATAAACACCTTGATTACTTCATTAGCTTTTCCTGTGGTATATTTATTTAGAAAATAAAGTCGATCTCTGTTCGATGAGACTCTTCTTTCAATAATAACTTCAAAAGCACGTATAAATACTGGGTAATCAAAGTAATTGCCGTCAAACACAGGTGGTTCTTGAAGTGGTAACAAACTTGTCCGATGTTGTTCAACTATCATGGCACTTAGCTCCGTTTGTTTGGCTTGCAAGCATAAGATATCATTGATAGATGCATCATTCTCTCGATGAGTTGATTGACATTTGGTTCCAGTTGTTTGACTTTGAGTCCCTATTTGCTTTCTCTCCACAGGTAGACCTGGAAGTCTTAGTTGAATATCTTCAAAATTTCTCGACGTAGATCCTTCTGGTTTAATTGTAGATCCTTCTGGTTTAATTGGTGGAATTGGAAATAGAATCGACGTGGGATCTTCTGATGGTTTGATAGTTGTTTTGACACCAGTTTCGTTCTTTATCACTCTTTCGGCCTTGGAACTGGAAGACAACATTTTATCCGGTTCAGTCGGAAAGCCAGTTGTAACATTCTTGTATCTCCTGGTGCTCTTTTCCTCTTCATCGACAATCTTTTTCATGGCAATTTCCTCGGCGTTTGCCATTGCAATTTTTTTTGACAACTGTAATTTTCTTATCTCAGATTCTTTATCAACAAATTCTTTCTCGACTACGAGCCTTGCTACTCTCGCCGCTGCCGATGCTCTGCGTTCCCGAGCCGATGATCTACTTGAACCCTCTGACCGATGGGATTTACTTGAACCCTCTGACCGATGGGATTTACTTGAACCCTTTGACAGATGGGAATTAGTTGATCCCTTTGAACGATGAGAATTAGTTGAACCCTTTGAACGATGGGAAGTTTCTGAATAATTTAAAATCGATGGTGAGAGCCTTCGACTTGATATATCTCTTTCAAGAACGTGTATTTTCTCAGTTACTCGCGCTCGAAACTCTTGAAACTCGCGATCGCATTGATCAAACCACTTATACGAAGAATCTTTATCTTCTTCTAAAGTCAATACATCGCCGTAATTTATATACGCTTCGTTAACGTCCTCTTTAAGCAGATCAAGTTTATTCCTTTCAGCTTCAAACTCTTCAAGCGTGACGTCGCTCGTTAATAGACTACGAAGTGTTTTGATCTGTTTTTTCAATTTTGAGTAAGCGTCGTCTTTACTACGCCGTAGAATTTCTATCTTGTAGGCTGCTCCTTTCTCTGTTAACGTCCTCGTTCTTGTTGGCCTAGCCTCTCGTTATCCTCGATATTTTGAATTGGCCAATCTTCGACTTCGACAAATTCGTCTTGCGAAATCCCGTGGAGTTCATCCATGACCAAACGAATAATTACTCCATAAGTCAAGTTCAGTTTACATAAAAGAAAACCATTTCACAAACCGAGAAGCAGGGTCAATATTGCCGAAATATTTTACTGTAGCTGAAGCGATTCGACTCTCAAGACCTATCACCGACTTTCAAGAGGTGTCGTGGCTTCTGTTTAGACTATTTTACTGAATTCGCGTAGACTTTGTCGTTAGTTGTATAATTTGAATTCGTAAACTACAAAGTTAATGCAATAAATATTAGATTAAGCTAAGCTAAAATCAAATAAAATCATGTTCAATTTCTAACTAGATAACTTACATATTTGTCCAATGTTTAAACTGCTTCGAAAGGTTGTTCATACGTCTAATTCTCAATTCCTAATAACTAATTTCGGCGTGTCACATCTTAGCACATGCACTACAATTTGAATGACTAATTATGCTAATATATACATTTACACGCAGAATGAAGAAACTTGTCCTCAGAGTGAAGAACCTTGCTCTCAGAGTGATGATCCTTGTCCTCAGAGTCTTACCTTGTCCTCAGAGTAAGGATCTTGTCCTCAGAGTGAGGAAACTTGTCCTCAGAGTAAGGAACCTTTGTCCTCAGAGTGAGGAATCTTGTCCTCAGAGCGAAGAACCTTGTTCTCACTGTGAAGAACCTTGTCTTCAGAGTGAAGAACCTTGTCTTCAGACTGAAGAAACTTCTCCTAAGAGGGAGGAACCTTGTCCTCAAGAGTGAAGAACCTAGTCCTCAGAGTGAGGAACCTTGCCCTCAGAGTGAAGAACCTTGTCGTCAGAATCAATAACCTACTCCTCAGAGTGAACTACTTTGTCCTCTGAGTGAAAAGAACCTTGTCGTCAGAGTGAAGAACTTTGTCCTCAGAGTGAAGAACCTAGACCACAGAATGAAGAACCTTGTATTCACAGTGAATAACCTTGTCCTCAGAGAGAATAATCTTGTCCTCAGTGTGATGAAACATGTCTTCAAAGTGAGGAACCTTGTCCTCAGTGTGAGGAACCTTCTCCTCAGTCTGAAGAACCTCGTCCTCAGGGTGAGGAACCTTGTCCTCAGAGTGAGGAACCTTGGCCTAAAAGAGAGGAACCTTGCACCCGGTGTCGGGAACTTTGTCCTCAGTGTCAGCAACTTTCTCCTCAGGGTGAAGAACCTTGTCCTCAAAGTGAGGATCTTTCTCCTCAGAGTGAGGGACCTTGTCCTTAGAGAGAGGAACCTTTTCCTCAAAGTGAGGAACCTCGTCCTCAGAGTGAGCACCTTGTTCTCAGTGTGAGGAACCTTGTCCTCAGAGTGAGGAACCTTTGTCCTCAGAGTGAGGAACCTTGTCCTCAGAGCGAAGAACCTTGTCCTCAGTGTGAGGAACGTTGTCCGCAGAGTGAAGAACCTTGTCCTCAAAGTGAGGAACCTTGTCCACAGTGTGAGGAACCTTGTCCTCAGCATGAAGAACCTTGTCCTCAGAGTGAGGAACCTTGTCCTTAGAGTCAGGACCCTTGCCTTCGGAATGAAGAACCATGTACTCAGGGTGAAGAACCTTGTCCTCAGAGTGAAGAACCTTGTCCTCAAAGTGAGGAACCTTGTCCACAGTGTGAGGAACCTTGTCCTCAGATTGAAGTACCTTGACTTCAGAGTGAGGAATCTTGTCCTCAGAGTGAAGAACCCTGTCTTTAGAGTGAAGAACCTTGTCCTCAGAGTGAAGAACCTTGTCCTCAAAATGAGGAACCTTGTCCACAGTGTGAGGAACCTTGTTCTCAGAGTGAGGAACCTTGTCCTCAGAGTGGGGAACCTTGTTGTCAGAGTGCGGACCCTTCTCCTCAGTGTGAAGAACCTTTCCTCAGAGTGAAGAACCTTGTCCTCAGAGTGAAGAACCTTGTCCTCAGAGTGAGGAATCTTGTCCTCAGTGTGAGGAAGATTGTCCTCAGGGTGAAAAACTCGTCCTCAGCGTGAAGAACCTTGTCCTCAGAGTGAAGAACTTTGTCCTCATAGTGAAGAACCTTGTCGTCAGTGTGAGGAACTTTGTCCTCAGGGTGAAAAAGCGCGTCCTCAGCGTGAAGAACCTTGTTCTCAGAGTGAAGAACCCTGTACTCATTGTAAAGAACCTTATCCTCAAAGTGAGTAACCTTGTCCACAGTGTGAGGAACCTTGTCCTCAGATTGAAGAACCTTGTCCTCAGTGTGAGGAACCTTGTCCTCAGAGTGAAGAACCTTGTCCTCAGAGTGAGGAACCTTGTCCTCAGAGTGAGGAACTTTTGTCCTCAGATTGAAGAACCTTGTCCTCAGGGTGAAGAACCTTGTCCTCAAAGTGAGGAACCTTGTCCACAGTGTGAGGAACCTTGTCCTCGGATTGAAGAACCTTGTCCTCAGAGTGAGGAACCCTGTCCTCAGAGTGAAGAACTTGGTCCTCGGAGTGAACAACCTTGTCCTCAGAGTGAAGAATCTTGTCCTCAGTGTGAGGAACATTGTCCTCAGGGTGAAAAACTCGTCCTCAGCGTAAAGAACCTTGTCCTCAGAGTGAAGAACCTTGTCCTCAGAGTGAAGAACTTTGTCGTCAGGGTGAGGAACTTTGTCCTCAGGGTGAAAAAGCGCGTCCTCAGCGTAAAGAACCTTGTTCTCAGAGTGAAGAACCTTGTACTCATAGTAAAGAACATTCTCCTCAAAGTGAGTAACCTTGTCAACAGTGTGACGAACCTTGTCCTCAGATTGAAGAACCTTGTCCTCAGTGTGAGGAACCTTGTCCTCAGAGTGAAGAACCTTGTCCTCAGTGTGAGGAACCTTGTCCTCAGAGTGAAGAACCTTGTCCTCAGAGTGAGGAACCTTGTCCTCAGAGTGAGGAACTTTGTCCTCAGGGTGAAAAAGCGCGTCCTCAGCGTAAAGAACCTTGTTCTCAGAGTGAAGAAACCTGTACTCATAGTAAAGAACTTTCTTTTCAAAGTGAGTAACGTTGTCAACAGTGTGAGGAACCTTGTCCTCAGATTGAAGAACCTTGTCCTCAGTGTGAGGAACCTTGTCCTCAGAGTGAAGAACCTTGTCCTCGGAGTGAAGAACCTTGTCCTCAGAGTGAATAACCTTGTCCTCAGTGTTAAGAACCTTGTCCTCAGCGTGAATAACCTTGTCCTCAGAGTGAAGAACCTTGTCCTCAGCGTGAAGAACCATGTCCTCAGAGTGAAGAACCTTGTCCTCAAAGTGAGGAACCTTGCCCACAGTGTGAAGAACCTTGTCCTCAGAGTGAAGATCCTTGCCCTCAGAGTGAAGGACCTTCTCCTCAGAGTTTAAATAACCTTGTCCTCAAAGTGAGGAACCTTGTCCACACTGTGAGGAGCCTTGACTTAAATTGAAGAACCTTGTCCTCAGTGTGAGGAACCTTGTCCTCAGAGTGAGGAATCTTGTCCTCAGTGTGAGGAACATTGTCCTCAGGGTGAAAAACCTCGTCCTCAGCGAGAACAACCTTGTCCTCAGAGTGAAGAACCTTGTCCTCATAGTGAAGAACCTTGTCCTCAGAGCGAGGAAACTTGTCCGCAGATTGAAGAATCTTGTCCTCAGAGTGAAGAACGTTGTCCTCAGAGTTTAAATAACCTTGTCCTCAAAGTGAGGAACCTTGTCCTCAGAGTGAAGAACCTTGTCCTCAGTGGGAGGAATCTTGTCCTCAGAGTGAAGAACCTTGTCCTCAGAGTGAAGAATCTTATCATCAGAGTGAGGAACCTTGTCCGCCGAGTGAAGCAGCTTGTACTCAGAGTGTGGAATCTTGTCCTCAGAGTGAGGAACCTTGTGCTCAGGGTGATGAACCGTATCCTCAGAGTGAAAAACCTCTTTCTCAGCGTGAAGAAACTTGTCCTCAGAGTGAAGAACCTTGTCCTCAGTGTGAGCAACCTTGTCCTCAGAGTGAAGAACCTTGTCCTCAGAGTGAAGTGCATTGACCTCAGAGTGAAGAACCTTGTCGTCAGAGTGAAGAACCTTGTCCTCAGAGTCAACAACCTTCTCATCAGAGTGGAGAACCTTATCCTCAGAGTGAAGAACCTTGTCCTCAAAGTGAAGAATCTTGTCCTCAGAGTAAAGAACCTTGTCCTCAGAGTAAGGTAGCTTGTCCTCAGGGTGAGGGACCTTGTCCTCAGAGTGAAGAACCTTGTCCTCAGTGGGAGGAATCTTGTCCTCAGAGTGAAGAACCTTGTCCTCAGAGTGAAGAATCTTATCCTCAGAGTGAGGAACCTTGTCCGCCGAGTGAAGCAGCTTGTACTCAGAGTGTGGAATCTTGTCCTCAGAGTGAGGAACCTTGTGCTCAGGGTGATGAACCGTATCCTCAGAGTGAGAAACCTCTTTCTCAGCGTGAAGAAACTTGTCCTCAGAGTGAAGAACCTTGTCCTCATAGAGAAGAACCTTGTCCTCAGAGTGAGGAACCTTGTCCTCAGGGTGAAGAACCTTGTACTCAGTCTGAAGAACCTTCTCCTCAGAGTGAAGAACCTTGTCCTCAGGGTGAGGAACCTTGTCCTCAGGGTGAAGAATATTATTCTCAGAGTGAAGAGACTTATTCTCAGAGTGAGGAACCTCGTCCTCCTAGTGGAAGCAGTTTGTACTCAGAGTGAGGAATCTTGTCCTCAGAGTGAGGAACCTTGTGCTCAGAGTGATGAACCTTATCCCCAGAGTGAAGAACGTTGTCCTCAGGGTGAAGAACCTTGTCCTCATAGTGAAGGACCTTGTCCTCATAGTGAAGAAGAACCTTGTCCTCAGAGTGAGGAACCTTGTCCTCAAGGTGAAGGACCTTGTACTCAGTCTGAAGAACCTTGTCCTCAGATTGAAGAACCATGTCCTCAGTGTGAGGAAACTTGTCCTCAGAGTGAAGAACCTTGTCCTCAGAGTGAAGACCCTTGTCTTCAGAGTGAAGAACCTTGTCCTCTGAGTGAAGAACCATGTCCTCAGTGTGAGGAAGCTTGTCCTGAGGGTGAAGAATGTTGTCCTCGGAGTGAAGAGACTTATTCTCAGAGTGAGGAACCTTGTCCTGCGAGTGGAAGCAGTTTTTACTCAGAGTGAGGAATTTTGTCCTCAGAGTGAGGAACCTTGTGCTCAGAGTGATGAACCTTATCCTCTTAGTGAAGAACGTTGTCCTCAGGGTGAAGAACCTTGTCCACATAGTGAAGGACCTTGTCCTCATAGTGAAGAACCTTGTCCTCAGAGTGAGGAACCTTGTCCTCAAGGTGAAGAACCTTGTACTCAGATTGAAGAACCATGTCCTCAGTGTGAGGAAACTTGTCTTCAGAGTGAAGACCCTTGTCGTCAGAGTGAAGAACTTTGTTCTCAGAGTGAACAACCTTTTCCTCAAAGCGAGGAACCTTGCGTCAGTGTGAGGAGCCTTGTCCTCGCATTGAAGAACCTTGTCCTGAGAGTGAGGAACTTTGTCCTCAGAGTGAAGAACATTGTCCTCACCGTGAGGAACCTTGTTCTCAGAGTGAAGAACCTTGCCTCAGTGTGAGGAACCTTTTCCTCAGACTGAAGAACCTCTTCCTCAGAGTCAAGAGCCTTGTCCTCAGAGTGAAGAACCTTGTCCTCAGAGTGAAGAACCTTGCCCTCTGAGTCAAGAACCTTGTCTTCAGAGTGGAGACCCTTATCCTCAGAGTGAACAACCTTCTTCTCAAAATGAGGAACCTGGTCCTCATTGTGAGGAACGTTATCGTCAGAATGAAGAACCTTGTCCTCAGAGTGAAGAATCTTGTCCTCGGAGTAAAGAACCTTGTCCTCAGTGTGAGGAAACTTGTTCTTGGAGTGAGTAACCTTGTCCTCATATTGAAGAACCTTGTCCTCAGAGTGAAGAACCTTGTCCTCAGAGTGAAGACCCTTGTCTTCAGAGTGAAGAACCTTGTCCTCTGAGTGAAGAACCATGTCCTCAGTGTGAGGAAACTTGTCCTGAGGGTGAAGAATGTTGTCCTCGGAGTGAAGAGACTTATTCTCAGAGTGAGGAACCTTGTCCTGCGAGTGGAAGCAGTTTTTACTCAGAGTGAGGAATTTTGTCCTCAGAGTGAGGAACCTTGTGCTCAGAGTGATGAACCTTATCCTCTTAGTGAAGAACGTTGTCCTCAGGGTGAAGAACCTTGTCCACATAGTGAAGGACCTTGTCCTCATAGTGAAGAACCTTGTCCTCAGAGTGAGGAACCTTGTCCTCAAGGTGAAGAACCTTGTACTCAGATTGAAGAACCATGTCCTCAGTGTGAGGAAACTTGTCTTCAGAGTGAAGACCCTTGTCGTCAGAGTGAAGAACTTTGTTCTCAGAGTGAACAACCTTGTCCTCAAAGCGAACCTTGCGTCAGTGTGAGGAGCCTTGTCCTCGCATTGAAGAACCTTGTCCTGAGAGTGAGGAACTTTGTCCTCAGAGTGAAGAACATTGTCCTCACCGTGAGGAACCTTGTCCTCAGAGTGAAGAACCTTGCCTCAGTGTGAGGAACCTTTTCCTCAGACTGAAGAACCTCTTCCTCAGAGTCAAGAGCCTTGTCCTCAGAGTGAAGAACCTTGTCCTCAGAGTGAAGAACCTTGCCCTCTGAGTCAAGAACCTTGTCTTCAGAGTGGAGACCCTTATCCTCAGAGTGAACAACCTTCTTCTCAAAATGAGGAACCTGGTCCTCAGTGTGAGGAACGTTATCGTCAGAATGAAGAACCTTGTCCTCAGAGTGAAGAATCTTGTCCTCGGAGTAAAGAACCTTGTCCTCAGTGTGAGGAAACTTGTTCTTGGAGTGAGTAACCTTGTCCTCATATTGAAGAACCTTGTCGTCAGAGTGAAGAACCTTGTCCTCAGAGTGAAGAAACTTATCCTCAGAGTGATGAACCTTGTCCTCAGAGTGAAGCAGCTTGTCCTCAGAGTGAGGAAACTTGTCCCAGAAAGATGAACCTTGTCCTCAGAGTAAGTAATCTTGTCCCCAGAGTGAAGAACCTTCTCCTCCGTGTGAGGAAACTTGTCCTCAAAGTGAAGAACATTGTCCTCAGCGTGAAGAACTTTCTCCGCAGAGTGAATAGCCTTGTCCTCAGAGTCAAGAAACTTGTCCTCAGAGTGGAGAACCTTGTACTCAGTGTGAAGAACCTTGTCCCCAGAGTCAAGAACCTTTTCTTCATAGAGGAAAACCTTATCCTCAGATTTAAGAACCTCGTCCTCAAAGTAAGGACCTTTTCATCAGTGTGAGGAACCTTGTCGTCAGAGTGAAGAACCTTGTCCTCAGAGTGAAGATTCTTGTCCTCACAGTAAAGGACGTTGTAGAGTGAGTATCCTTGTCCTCAGAGTGAGGAACCTTGTCCTCAGAGTGAGGAACCTTGTCCTCAGAGTGGAGCAGCTTGTCCTCAGAGTGAGGAACCGTTTCCTCGGAGTGAGAAACCTTGTCCTCAGAGTGAGGAACCTTGTCCTCAGAGTGAAGAAACTTGTCCTCAGTGTGAGGAACCTTCTCCTCAGAGTGAAGAACCTTGTCTTCAGCGTGAAGAACCTTGTCCTCAGAGTGAAGAACCTTGTCCTCATAGTGAAGATACTTGTACTCAGAGTAAGGAAATTTGTTCTCAGGGTGAAGAACCTTGCACTCAGTGTGAAGAGCCTGTCCTCAGAGTCAAGAAACTTGTCCTCAGAGTGGAGAACCTTGTACTCAGCGTGAAGAACAATGTCCCCAGATTCAAGAAGCTTGTCCTAACAGTGGAGAACCTTATCCTCAGAGTTAAGAACATTGTCCTCAAAGTAAGGAACCTTGTCCTCTGTGTGAGGAACCTTGTCGTCAGAGTGAAGAACCTTGTCCTCAGAGTGAAGAATCTTCTCCTCACAGTAAAGAACGTTGTCCTCAGAGTGAGGAACCTTGTCCTCAGAGTGACCAACTTTGTCCGCAAACTGAGGAACCTTGCCGTCAGTGTGAGAAGCCTTGTCCTCGGATTGAAGAACGTTGTCCTCAGAGTGAGGAACCTTGTCCTCAGAGTGAAGAACATTGTCCTGAGTGTGAGCAACCTTGTCCTCAGGGTGAAGAACCCTGTCCTTATAGTGAAGAACCTTGTCCTCAGAGTGAAGAACCTTGTCCTTACAGTGAGGAGCCTTGTCCTCAGAGTGAAGAACCTTGTCCTCAGTGTGAGGAACCTTGTCGTCAGGGTGAAGAACCTTGTCCTCAGAGTGAAAACTTTGTCCTCAGAGTGAAGAACCTTGTCCTCAGAGTGAGGAAACGTGTCCTTAGAATGAGGAAGCTTCTCCTCAGAGTGATGAACCTTGTCCTCAGAGTGAAGAACCTTCTCCTCAGTGTGAGGAACCTTGTCCTCAGAATGAAGAACCTTGTCCTCAACGTGAAGAACCTTGTCCGCAGTGTGAAGAACCTTCTCCTCACTGTCAAGAAACTTGTCCTCAGAGTGGAGAACCTTGTACTCAGTGTGAAGAACCTTGTCCTCAGAGTCAAGAACCTTGTTATCATAGTGGAGAACCTTATCCTCAGAGTTAAGAACCTTGTCCTCAAAGTAAGGAACCTTGTCCTCAGTGTGAGGAACCTTCTCGTCAGAGTGAAGAACCTTGTCCTCAGAGCGAAGAATCTTGTCCTCACAGTAAAGAACGTTGTCCTCAGAATGAGGAACCTTGTGATCAGATTGAGGAACCTTGTCCTCAGAGTGAGGAACCTTATCCTCAAAGTGAAGGACCTTGTTCTCACTGAGGAACCTTCTAGTCCTCACAGGTAGTAACCTTGTCGTCGCCGCAAGGAACCTTGTCCTCACGGCCAGGAACATTGATCTCACAGCGTGGACCCTAGTCCTCACCGCTGGTGACCTTGTCTTCACGGCAAGGAAGCTTGTCCTCACCGCCAGTTACCTTGTCCTCACCGCCAGTAACCTAGTCCTCACCGCCAGGAACTTTGCCCTCACAGCCAGTAACCTTGTCGTCACCGCCAGCAACCTTGTGCTCACGGCCAGAAACCTTGTCCTCAGCGCCACGAACCTTGTCCTCACGCCCAGGAACCTTTTCCTGACGGACAGGAACCTTGCACGCACCGCCAGGAACCTTTTTCTCACGCCCAGGAACATTGTCCTCACCACCAGTAACCTTGTTCTCACAGCCAATAACCTTGTCCTCGCCGCCAGGAACCTTTTCCTCATCGCGAAGAACCTTGTCCTCACCGCCAGAAACCTTTTCCTCAGCGCCAGGAACCTTGTGCTCACCGCCAGGAACCATGTCCTCACCCTCAGGAACATTGTCCTCATGGCCAGGAACATTGTTCTCACGGCCAGGAACCTTGTCCTCACCGCCAGGAACCTTGTCCTCACCGCCAGAAACCTCGTCCTCACGGCCAGCAACCTTCTGCTCATGGCAGTAACCTTGTCCTCACAGCCAGTAACCTTGTTCTCACTGCCAGGAACTTTTTCCTCAACGCCAAGAATCTTGTCTTCACCGCCAGGAACCTTGTCCTCACGCCCACGAACCTTGTCCTCACGGCCAAGAACCTTGTCCCCACAGCCAGGATCCTTGTCCTCAGGCCCAGAAACATTGTCCTTACTGCCAATAACCTTGTCCTCACAGGCAATAACCTTGTCCTCACCGCCAGGAACCTTGCCCTGACGGCTAGGCACCTTCTCCTCATGCCAGTAACCTTGTCCTCACATCCAGTAACCTTGTTCTCACTGCCAGGAACCTTGGCCTCGCCGCCAGGACGGCAGGAACCTTGTCCACACGGCCAGGAGCCTTAATCTCACAGCCAGGAACCTAGTCCTAACAGCCAGCAACGTCGTCCTCACAGCCACTAAGCTTGTCGTCACCGTCAGGAACCTTGTGCTCACCGGCAGGAACCTTGTGCTCCCCCCCCCCCCAGGGACCTTGTCCTCACGGCCAGAA